AACATAACACAACATAACTTGTAATTGCGGAGTCTGTCTCTTAGCAAGCGATTCTGTCCTGACAATTATACCCAGACTCATCAATACCTTTGCTTCCTTCTAGTATTGGTTTCTTTCTAGATGTAATAATCTTCTCGAAGAGATCCACAAACTTGTAAGTCCTTCAGCATTTGGATTTTCTTTCTCTTGCTGCGCTTAGATGAAACCAGGTAATCATCTACGAGGAAAGCCTATGGGGACAGCTACTAAATTAAGTCATCACGAAATATGTTGTAAATACTATGTTGACTTAACCTCCCTCCTCTCCCTGTACTATGTCATGTACCTTCTCAGACGGCAGATCCACAATATAGGTTCACCTTATGCTGGCGTGGAGCTCTATTCAAGCCTTTAAGGCTTAATGCAGCTAGGAAGAAAAAAGAATTACCTGCAAGTTATCTGAGACTCCTGACAGCACGATTCCAGGTCCGGCAGGTTGCTAAATAGCACAACACTTCTGATTAGGCCTCGTGGGGGATACCTCAGTGGATGCAGCACAGGATGAAGAGTCTGAAGAGCTCCGTTCTACAGACAGCATTGCTACTGACTTGCCAAACAGATTTCAGCAGGACATCTCCCCTTCACTACTCTTGGCTGTAAAGTGGGTGAGCTCTGAGATCTGTGTGGGAAGGACAGTGTGAGAACAAGGAATTACTTCTGTAGTACGAAGCATTAGTAACAACAGCAATAATGTCATCCTCTTCACAGGGGAAAAATCTGTCCCTGCCCATTCTGTCACAATCCAGTACAAAGGAAAAATTTGCTGAGATGTAGACTTTTGCATGGGACATGAAGTGGGCACAGGGAGGAAGTGATTCTAAGCCTTTGGGCATGGGAAAATTTCTTCTCAAGCAACAACTCCCAAGAAACTAAACATCACGTTATAAAAAACAAAGTCAAAATGGAAGTCCCCACTGTAAATTCAGCTCTTGGTATTTGCCAAAGACACATGGGAATCCCTACCCCAAGGGAATGCTTGTTCCTGTGGAAAAGTGCAAATCCGTAGAGTTCACAATGAGGGGATTCACGCAGACATGCATTCTACCTCAGTGATCAAACTCTTCCTCTCGAGGTCTAAATGAATTTCCACTGACCTCCTTTCTTACAGCTTAGTCTCCAGCTGGATTTCCTTCAACTGTAAAAATGTGTATAGTGTAATTAGCCAACCTCCACAGACTCTGTAGTTCATTTATGCATGCTAGGCAAGTCTCCCGCTGTGAGCAGCCCATCCAAAGAGAACTCTTTGAACTGGTCTATTGTTGTTCATGTAGCGTATTGCATTGTCCAATTTCATCATTCCTGGCAAGGCACCGCACTCCTGCAGCTTGCTACAGGAGGAGGAAAAGAGATGATGAAGCACTTTGTCCAGCTGCTGTGCCGGACATCTCAGATGTACAAATAAGCTTGCCTACCACTAGCTATAGGACTCGCCCAGTCAACACAGAGGCATTTGTTGACCAATTGTGCTTACAAGATCTTATCTGGAAGTACTCTCTAATCTAGTTAGCCATCTGGAGGGACAAGGGACAGAAAAGAGAGTAAGAAAGGATCAGGTGAAAAAGAAAATAATAATAATAATAATAATAATATCAATTCCATAGAGCATAATAGTTGCTGGAGCATACAGTCAAATCTTGGCTTAAAATACCATGTAAGTAACACAACTGGGTCAACCAAAAACATACCCCAAACCACACAACGGTGTAGCATTTTGCTACACCTAGAACTTAAAGTTTGAGCAAACTTTCTTACCTTCAAACACTCATTGGCAAACTCTGAAATGAAGGAGTCAAATGCTACAGAAAATGGGAAGCAAAGTTGTGTGTGTGATTTGAGACCCACCATTCACATTTCTCTTCTTTGTTTTTGATTAGGTACTGTTTTGGGTAGGAAAAGAGGGGGTCATACATCAAAAAAAAAGTGCTGCTCTGCTGTGCTCAAGAGGAAGAGACATTCCATTTTAGAACAAAGAATCCGGATTTTTTTCACATTGCTTCACTAAGAGGTTTTTGGAGGTTTTTCTTGGGGTGATGGGGGTGGAGTGTTTGGCTTTGCTATAATACAGCACATCAAAGCGCTTTTGATGTGAAGTTTACTTAACAGAATCAGTTTTTCCGATGATTGTGTTAATCTTTATAAACCTGAAGGCGATACTGTGCCTTTTAAAAAACTATAGCAGGAAAAGACTTGAGGTTACATACACTCTCAGTGGTGAGAGACAGGAGCAGTTGTACTACTTTGCCTCTTCTTAGAACTACATCCATTCCTTCATGGGCAGCAATGGCAACGTTTCTGACTTCACTCCCATGACTTGGACTGGGAAGGCTCTGTTTAAACCACTCTCAGCCCTCACATAAGCACCTTCATGTGTTTTCCCAGGTAAGAGCCACATTAGATTTCCGGGTCAATTTACACAGGGATTGGCTGAGAGGCAGCATGGAGGCCTTGAGCCCAAACAAGAATCAGTGTTGATCTTAGGAAGGTACCCCCACTCCACTAATAGCCACTAATAGCTATCTTTAATTGCGTTATTTTCAGCACAGGCTCTTGTCCTCTCTTAAATCCTGCAAAACCAGCTTTGCCATCCACTCCTTGTCTTGAAGTATGGCTGTGAAAAGCTTCTGTTATGTCTGACGTGTTTACCTACAGCATTTGAATGACTTTTTAAGTTCTTTGAATAAAGATAAGAGACAATGTGTACATTTTCCACACAAATAGTGGAACGGTAATAAAATAAACATCAAAGGTAAGCTAGAAAATCATCACTACTTTGCTGCCATTTATAACAAAAGCAGGAAGAGGAAAAACCTACCCTCACCACTGGCATCATCTTAGAAAATACGAGCTTTGGAAGGAACGATGGCTTTTTCCCATACCCTTAAACACAAACATTGGCACCTACAGCTAACGCAGAGCTTCACTGAAAGATCTCAGTTTACATTGCAAAGAGAGAACAAGAAGCCAACCAAGAGAGGTCTCCCTCCTCTTATTTTTATTGCTCAATTGCCTGTTTTTTTTCAACTGGCACAGCTTTAGTGGACAAGGCATCAAACCCATTATTATAGTTAGAAAGGGTACAACCAAAAGGACAGGAGGACCTCTTTTCGTTTAGAATTTAAGACCCACACGAGGCTTAAAAAAAAAAAAAGGCAAAGCTTTGAAACGTTGTGCAGGTGTGTGTGGGAATGTTTCGTTCCCCATCTCTTTTGAATAGAAGAAAGTAGTGTGCTGTTTGTTTCTTCTGAGGGTCTTTCAAATCTGCCTTCTTTTAAGTTCCTCCCCAGCACGCCTTGGCAGCTGGAGTCCTAGCCAGAGTGACGCTGCATTTTGGAGCATTTATCCTAAAATAAAGACTGATTCAGAAAGACTGCTTTTGGAAAACATGGAGCAATTCAACTCTTACTCCAGGACACAACATTCAAAGTGTCCATAACAGAAATAGAATAGAAGCACCACGCTGGATTTCTGCTGATGTTTTTGTCCTGGTATTGTTTTGCAGATGCCAGCTCTACTGCTGTATGGAGTCGAACGGTGTTTTGCAATTGACTTTGAATGGACAGCAGAGTAGACTGAAGTTCTCAGTGGAGTCTCACTCTCATCGTTGAGGCGTTTCATCCAGCGCTGTTGGAGGGGACTGAACATCTGCCCTCAGAAAGAAGCAGAAGACCACGATTAGTGCAAAGCTGAAAGCAAACAGAACAATCATGATTATTTTGTCTCGAAAGAAAAGCAGCGAGGTAAAGTTACAGAGTGTCCCGGGTTTTATGGAAAATTTATAGTCTCCGTGTTATGAAAACGTTAAAGCAAAGTCGCTTCAAAAAAAAAAAAAAAAAGAAAGAAAGAAAAAGCACAATAAAAGATTTTATTGGAGAGCGACAGCTCTAACATTGCAGACATGCCATCGGAAGACATCAAGCGACGGTGCTGCGTGAACACTCAAAACCAAGGGCAAAGCTGTGGCAGCCTCTCCCTTCACGCAGCGCTGCCTACCTGCTCCCACCTCGCCCTGCACCCTGGTTATGACGGCAGAGGAGAGGGGCCGAGACTGTCAGCCCACGTAAACCATGAGGGATCCCCGGCTGCGGAGCGGCGCGGTGTTCCGACAGGTTGTTGCGCTGTCACATTGCAACTCGCTGCTTTGCGCAGCGCTGTGAGCACAGATCGCGGCGCGGCAGGTTCTGCTCTGCCACCTATGAGCCGCTCCGTATGCTGCACCTGGAGCAGGGCTGGAGCTCCAGATCCTATCGAGCTCTGCTCTGCTCGGAATGCCCGGCATGGAAGAGGCACCTGGAAGGAGAAAATACACACGCGTTTCGTAAAAAAGAAAAAAAAAAAGAAAAAAAGAAAAAAAAACCAACTTTCCAAACAGACCTCGCTGTCATCTGGGCTAATTTCGGCTCTGATACGGCTATTAGGGCATACCCACCTTTGCTACCTTGCTTCCCCACCCACCACCCTTTCAGATCTCCGTCCTGACTCCGCCTCTCGCCGGCGTTATAATGGGCTGGTCTGAAAGTGGTGGAGAGACGCAGAACCACAGGGGAAGAGGGAGATAATGACAATAACCCCAATAACCCCCGTCACCCGGCTGCTGCCCACGCCGCTGCGAGGAACCGAGCACTGACGGGGAGAACCCGGACGGCGAGAGGAGACCCCGGCGTCTCCCGGAGCATCGCCGGACGGGAGCAGCGGAGCGCCCCGAGCAGCGCCGGGCACCACCGGGGGCGGCGGAGAGGAGAGGCTCCGGTCCGACCCCATGGAGCCGGCGGCGTGACGAGGCGGGGGAGCCCCTCGCTGCGGGAGGAGGAGGACGCGGAGGTGGCAGCCGGAGCAGCCGCCGCCGCGGAGCTGTCCAAGCGGCAGCGGAGGCAGAGCCGCCCCTCCCGCCCCCCTCGGGGCCGTGCCGAGGGGCGGGGGTCGCCGGGCCGAGCAGCGGGGCGCGTGGGGGCCGCGCCGCCGCCATGAAGCTGGAGGTGTTCTCGCAGCACTACGAGGACAAGCTGAGCGCCGGCAGCGATCAGGAAGGCAGCGGCTCGCTCTCCCCGGCGCCGGCCGATAGCGAGCTGGGATCGGACGGGGACTGCGCCGCCAATAGCCCGGGCGGCAGCGCCGGCAGCTCCGGGCGGCCCCCGCCGCCGACCCCGGCCCCGCAGCCGCCGCCGCCGCCGCCGCCGGCTCCGGCCGAGGGAGGCAAGGGGAAGCCGTACACGCGGCGGCCCAAGCCGCCCTACTCGTACATCGCGCTGATCGCCATGGCCATCCGCGACTCGGCCGGGGGCCGCCTGACCCTGGCCGAGATCAACGACTACCTGATGAGCCGCTTCCCCTTCTTCCGCGGCGCCTACACGGGCTGGCGCAACTCGGTGCGCCACAACCTCTCCCTCAACGACTGCTTCGTCAAAGTGCTGCGCGACCCGGCGCGGCCCTGGGGCAAGGACAACTACTGGATGCTCAACCCCAGCAGCGAGTACACCTTCGCCGACGGCGTCTTCCGCCGCCGCCGCAAGCGCCTGAGCCGCGCCGCCCCGCCGCCGCCGCCGTCCGCCCGCCCCGCCGCCGCCGCCCCGCAGCCGCCGCCGCAGCCGCCGCAGGAGGCGGCCGGAGCGGGCGCCGCGTCCCCCGCCGCCACCGAGGAGGAGGAGGAGGAGGCGGCGGCGGGCGGCGGCGGAGCGGCGGGCGGCGGCGCCAAGTTCTCCAGCTCCTTCGCCATCGAGAGCCTCCTTCGGAGGCCGGCCGGGCCCCGCGCCGCCCCGCAGCCCCCGCCGCCCGCCCGCTTCGTGTGGCCTCCGCCCGCCGCCCCGCACCTGCTGCCCGCTCATCACTACCCGCTGCTCACTTACGCTCAGCCCTCGCCGCCCGCGGCCGCTCTCTACGGCGGGGGCCTGGTGCAGCTGTGCGCCTACGGGCTGGGCGAGCCGCCGCTGCTGCTGGGCGGCCCCCACGGGCATCCCCAGGGGCAGCCGCCGGCGGAGCGCCCGCGGGCGTCGCTCTTCGCCGGGGCCGCGCTCCCCGGGGGATCCCCGCCCTACGTCCCGCTCCGAGCGCCGCGGCCGGCGGCGGGGAGCTCGGCCCCGTTCCGCCCGTACGCCGTGGAAACCCCCCTGGCGTAACGCAAGAGAGGGTAGGGAACTCTGGATCCCGCACTTTAACTCCCAAAGCCTCCCTTCGGACGCCTCGGTGACTGTGCCTTAAAGAAGTGACGGCGGGCATCACTTCGAACCAAGCCAAAAAAAAACTGCCCTCCGGGACATAGCCATGAGCCTCAAGTGCTTCTTACTGTGCGCTGGGACCGCTCCGCTTCTGCCTTCCCCTCTCCGCCTCTCGGGGCTGCGCTGCGCACCGGGAGCGGGCGCGGGGAGGGGGAGGTTGGGCGGGGGCTGCTGCAGGGCCGTAGGTCCGTGCCGCAACGCCGCGCATCACTGTGCCAAAAAAAAACCTTCCCCCCCCGGCACAAACATCTCGTGGGAAAAGAGGACATTAAGTTATTTATAAAAGCAGTGTTTTTCACACGAGAGTGCCGCTTTTTTAATTAATTATTGGTGGGGTGGGGAGAGGGGTGTAGAAGAGTGCCGTCACCTGCGCTGTACACCCGATGCCGTGCCCTCTACTGCTTGGAAACAGTGATTCCTTTCGTATTTTATTTTTTGTGTTTGTATATAATAGATGTGCGTGTGCCCGGCGCCTCCGCTGCCTTTTTATTATTATTATTATTTTGGCGAAGGACAACGGACATAACCCGATTGTCATCTCCGAGAGCAAGGCAAAGGAGCGGGCTCCGGCTGCCGGAGAGGCGAAATCTCAGCGCCAGGACTCAATAGGAGTGTTGGCGGTGACAGAACACGTTCAGCCCTCGGCTGCTCTCAAAGCCCGATGTGTTCGGGCTGCTCAGCACTGCCACGAGAGATCGGGGCAGCCCCAGAAAGACGGAGCTGGGAATAGGAGAGGGTGGGTTTCATTGCCCGGGGAACCGGGTGAGGAGTTTGTGCGTCCCCAACTCAGAGCGCTTCTCTCTTTTTGATTATCATTTTCTTTTTTTCTTAATTTTTTTTTTTTTTTTTGGAAGCTCTGAAATGGTCATTTGGGGTAGGTCTGCTTGTTCTCATAATAGTAATAATAAAAAGGATGAAAAACGACTAGCTTTCTTTCCCCTGACTCTTCTGTAACCCAAACAAACGCTGGAGGAGAATTTGGAGTGCGGACTGATTTCTAATCACACCTCGGTCTTTCTCCCCACCTGCTCTGCCCCCAGCGCAGGGGCTCAGCCTTTGCCCCTCTCCTTCCCCACCAGCAAATACTGCGCAGAGAGCGGAGGTGTGCTCGGAGCGCAGCTCTTCCAGCAGAGCACACAGCGGGAGGAACCTCCGAGCCGTTTCCATCCAGCTCCAGCCGATTTCACGGCGCGTTTAGCTCAGACCGTAACATCCATCAGAACATTGCGAGAGATTAGTGACTAATGGATTAAGTAATCCAACCCTTGAAGGAATTGGTTTTTATGTACGCGCGCACACACACACACGTTTGGTATTTCAACATCATTGTGCCTTCAAGGCTCTGTGCAAATATCCGTCAGCTCTCTTATAGACGATCCTTTCCCCTTTCTTTATAAGGGTGCTCAGAGGGAAACTGCTGGTCTCCTTCGGTTCTGTCCATGTGCAGTGGTCTTCATTCGTGGTATTGAGTGAACAGGGAGTTTGTTACCTCAGCCATATGTGTATATTTAATTGGATGCATACAAGCATGCATACAGATGGAGATTAGTTATATATTTAAGAGGATGACATTGGGTGTGCCTTCGAGGAAAGCTCCTATTATCAAAAATAATTATAATAACCCAGCCTTAAAAGAAAAAGAAGCTTATAGGTCATCAGCCCATGAATCTGAGATAGGATCCATGGAGAATCGATGGGAAGCATCACCTCCCACTCTAAGGAAGAACCCCAAAGAGGGGACAGGGGGCTGGGACAGTCTGCTCTCAATCACATGGATTTATGAGGAAAGGGAAAAGGAAGGCAGCAGGGTCCCGGCCCAGCTGCCTCCAGCACAACCAGCACTGCCACAGCCAGGGCATCCCCAACACAAGGCATTGCCATCAGTGTGAGCTGGCAGCTGTGACAGACAGGCACTGAAACACGGCACCTGTCCAAACACTTCCAGCAGCAGGTAACCAGAGAACCCACACTTTACATTTTTGTGTGGAACAAGCAAATTAACCGTTTCACACACCTTCCCCAAACAGCCAGGTTTGTATGGCCGGCACTTTGTCTTCCTTAACATCTAATAAATCAGGATGACAGAACAGAGAAAAAGCCTTTCTCCTTTTGATATTTGACACATCAGCAGTAAGCCAATACTTTTGTGCCCTGTTCTTTCACACCCACAAGGGGCTGCATTGCCCACCCAACGTATCCGAGGGATCATCAGGTGGGTACAGATCAGGATATGAGGCTGAAATTCACACACTGTATAGGCAGACCTGGTTTCAGGGACACAGAAAGCCTGGTGGAAAAGGAAGCATCACATTTTCATCTGCATTTTCATCTCTGTGTTTTCAAAAACTGCCGCACGGGGAGCAGTCAGCATGGGAGGGTTGTGAAAGCCTCCATTTGAGTACAACTGCACCTGAATTCTAAACCAGAGCAACTTTGGGGTTTAACTGCATTGTTTTATAAAGATACTGCTTTCCAAATAAATATATTGTTTCTGACTGTTCAAGCTCTTTCACATTATGGTTTCTATAATACAGTCTTACCATGCTTTAGAAGGGGGAAAAAAAGTCACACTCAACGTCCAGAGTATTCCCAACAAATATTTTTGGTGGCTTCTTGCCCCCCCAACCCCTCTCCCACACTCTCTAGTAGGTAGTTGTTAGAAACAGTTACTTGAATCACATTGGTCCTAACTACTTTCCTAAATCTCTTCCAATTTTAACTTACTGAGCAGCATAAACTCCTCCTCTGTGGATTGAGCCCAAATGTAAAGGAAACTTTATGCATTTTGAGGTTTAATAGATGCTAAACAGAAATTCATTGGAAAAAAAAGCTTGCTTAGAACCCACATAGCAGGAAGATACAACAATACCCCCTTATATTCCCCCTTATAGTGGATGCTAAGAGGTTTACTCCTTTACCTCACTGGAGAGACGTCAGTAGGGCAGCCCTTTAATTGTGTTATTTTAGATTAATTCACCCTATTCACCAGCCACATCTAATGAAACCTGAAACTTGCTTTCAGCTTCTACATCCAATGACCTATAAGATAGGATGAATAGCCCTTCAGTATCACTAACCCTCTCAGGAAGTAGCCCACTGAAGTTAGGCACTTCATTCACAAGCCATCTCCACACAGTAGTGCTAGCTGCAGGACTCAGTTCAACCCAGATCTCCAGACAAAGCCCCCATCTGAAAGCACAGCCCTTGGTACCAGCCTAATCTCACACTGAAAGGACTGAAAGAGGTGAGTGCAACTTCATTTCAGGACCTCCTCCAGTTTTTCTGTTACACCTTTTCAGAAGGGTGGTTCTTAGTGGCAGGATGTATCCAAGCACAGAACCCTTAACAAAGAGAAGCTTCATCCCACTAAAAAGGCACACAGAAGACTTGGGTTCACAGATCCTTCATCATTCACACCATGGCTCAAGAAGTCATAAAAATCATAGAATCACCAAGGCTGGAAAAGACCTCTAAGATCATTTAGTCCAACCATTCACCTACCACCAATATTTCCCCACTAAACCAAATCCAAGCTGAAACTTCCTACACAAGAGCAAGGAGACAACCACAGTCTTATACAGAAGGGTAGAGCTTCCCAACCAAAGCCCAGATTTTGCACAATTCTTCATTGAGCTGGGGGAAACTTTTCACATAATAACAGACAAGAGAGTTCATTTACTGTGCCAAGCTTTTTGCCTTTTAAGTCTGAAGGAGACATAAGACCAAAGGTGAAATCCACCTCCAGCCAAATACAATATGCTAAAGGTGTGATTTGGGCAAGGGTGATTTTACCCTGTTGCAACTTCTCTAGGTACTGCAATAGCTCTTTAATAATGGTTCCATCTTTCACATATGTTCTGGAAAGGAAAGGTTTTCTCCTTGAATAAACCATCTGGACTTCATTGATGCTCTCAGAAGTCTCGAAACCAGCTTCAGAAGAGACATTGATGAAGCCCACATCACTTGACATAAAATCAGATGGCAAGAGAGAGCCTGACCTTCCCTGGACATTCAAACCAGTATTAATGCATCATTATTTAAGATACTTAGATTGCCACTTTCAAAAAGCTAGTAATTTATGTAGTCTGCAGCCTTGCATAGGAGCTAAACATTGTTATTGCCTTCAGGAAGTTTAACCTCTGTACACCTGGATAGACCAGGCCTTTGTCCTCTTTTCCAGAGCCAGAGGGGTTTTGCATAAGGAAGGATTGTGAGTACACGCTGTCATAGCATTTGTGCTCTTGCACCACGGTATTGTTTTCTTTGTTATGACATGTTTCAAAATTTCTGAGCTCTTTCAAGCAGGATGGCATACTAATAGCCTCCTTTGCTATGGGGAAAAGCAATGCTTCTGTGGGTTCTTTCCTTAATAGCAGAGCAGAGACTATTCAGACAGTACAAATCTCTTCTTCAGTATGATGTATGAGTAGAGTATGTGGCACTATTGGACTGAAATGGTTCAAGGACCGTCGGATAGAAAAGCATGCAAGGGAAAAGACAGGTTGACACCTCATTTTCCAGATTCCACTGTCATTATTTTCTATCATAGCTATTCACTGAGTACATGTTTACAAGCAGCATATAGGGGTTCACTGATGTTTGTAAGCATAATTTAGCTGTTTTGGGGTCTAGTAGGTTTATTTTAGCTGTGTTTGAACTACAGTTGTTATTTCAGTCTCACTCCATTACCACGTTACCTTAAAATAACATCTGACAACCAACTGGTAACCCTTCCTAAATAGTATATTTCTTGTTATCCTCACTATTACTAAAGCATTTCTAGTTTGGTGTGGAGAAGCAACGCTAATGAACATCATGCCAGTTAAGCAAACTGTGCTTAACTACTAGTATTCTGTGACTCTACGAGGTATCCCAGGCTGCCTCATTGGATAGAAAACTCT